ATTTGTGGGATTCACTGCAGATGAGGTACGGCTGTGGCTTTAAAAGGGGGTAAGAAAAAAATGTCCAGGTTTATCAACACTATTGGCCATAACAGGATTTGTATACTGCTTTTTAAAAGTTTGTTTTCCAAAGCAGCATGCAACCATCGTAAAACAACATTTGATTTTTTTTAAAAAAATAGCAATAATTTTAAATGTAAAACACATTGGTAACCGGCGTAATGGTTTGAACAAGAAGCATGTTGTGGTTCTGACAACTTCCCATCCTGTGCTTGCTTACTCCAAAGTAAGGCCCAGTTTGTTCAGGGGGACTTACTTCTAAGTCAGCATGCTAAGTTTCGCATTCCCTCAGAAGCAGACATCATGCCCTTTGCAAAACTCAGGTTTCTTTGCCCTGCCGCAGCTCTGTTCACAGTGCCGTCCTAAGCAGACTTAAGTCTATGGGCTTAGAACGGTATAACTCTGCTTAGGTTGGCACTGCCCGTCTTCTGAACTGGTTGCCCCAGACAGCCACCAGAGCAGGTGGGACATGTCAATACCTGGTTGCCACCAGCCATCAAAAACCATCCATCCATCTCCTAGCAATCAGCACCCATAGAGGAAATATCCTTAGATATTAACGGTGTTTAAAAAGCTCAGTGGAAAGTCAGTCTTCTAATTTGTTAGACTGATCCCTCTATAGGGTTGTCAGGCGCGATCGTTACGCCGGTGGGGGGATTTGGGGGGTGGCCTGGGAGTGGGCGGGGATGTCCCTCACATGATGATGTCATGTGGAAGAGACGTCATTGCGCTGGCAATGTCGGGGCGACACTCTGCTTTTGGGCAAACTCTATGGTTAAAATTGGGCTCAAACCATAGAGTTTTGCCTAAAAAGCAGAGTGTTGTTGTGTGACATCGTGATGATGTCACTTTCGTGTGACATCATCATTTCAGGGACGTCACCAAGTGATGTCACTCTTCGGGGGTGGGGCTTCCCCTGCTGACCAGCTGGCTGGCAGCAGGCAGACACCCCGAAAATTGGGGGGAACCCACCCACACTGGGAGGAACCCTGTCCTTCTAAAACAAAGGTCCCCAGCCTGTGGGGACTTTTGGAATTCTGACACAGGGTAGACAATGCTCCCTCTAAGCTGTGGAGTCTTGTGAGCAAAAATCCTACTTTGTGAGCTACTGGCATTAAAGTTGTGAGTGAGCAATTTGGCTACTGCATAGATAGTTTGCTCTGGAGCCATCCTTCCTGAATTAAGACAAAAATGCATGAACCGGAGGCTAAAAAACTGAGCTAGCTCACACTAACTCAGCTTAGAGGGGACACTGGGCACAACCACAGAAATTGGTGGTGCAGGAGGTGGAGGCTACCACAAAATGGCTGCCACGGGGGGTGGAGCCAGCCACAGAATGTCAGGGAGTGAGGTGATTCCAAGCATCCAGGTGGGACCTGGGGATCCTCCGGAATTACAGCTCATGTCCAGACTACAGTGATCAGTTCCCCTGGAGAAAATGGCTGTTTTGGAGGATGGTCTCTGAGGCATTGCCCCCCACCAAGGTCCCTGTCCTACCCAGGCTTTATCCCCAAATCTCCAGGAGTTCCCCAACCTGGATCTGGCAACCCTCATCCTCTGCTGGTGGCCAGGGGGACCTGGCAACCCTATGCATAACTCTAAGTAACTCTTTAACATTTCAGTCATGAGCTCTGTTGAATAGGATGCCCTTTAAAATGAACATATGCTAAACATTTTCTTGCATACACATCGTAACGCAGTGAAGAGGCTTGAACTGTGGTGGCCATTGTGGCTGAAGCAACGGCTAAAACTCTGTACGGCCAATCCGATCTCCAGTGGCCCTGGAGCCCCCGGGCACCATGTTGGGGTCCCTTGGTCTAAAACTGAGCTACAGTGCAGGTGAAACAGGAAGAGGTTTCTTGTTCTGCTGTAACCAAGTGAATCATCGCCCATTTTCTCTCCTTTGGAGCAGCCTGTAACCGTTTTGCCAGTTGTCTCTTTCTGCACCTGTCAAGCCTCCTTGACTGGTTGCAAAATGCTGCTTAATTCCGCACCCCTCAATACATGGGAGATCACAAGGAGGCTAATACTTTTCTCCTTTTGAGGAGGCTGACGGGGAAACAGACAGGAACATAGGGGATACCTGGTGAATCTGGTTGATGGGGGGGGGAGAGAGAAAAACAAAAAAAAATGTGGAGTTTGCTTCTGAGCAGACAGCCCTGCTTCCCAAGTTCTGGCATTTTGGTGTCAGATCGCTCGCTCCCTTGAATAACAAAATGTGAACCCATTAACGCTGCACTGGTGGAGGATTCGCAAGCCTCTGCCCTGTGCGCTGATGTTGTATGTCCTTAAAGGACAGTGCAGGGAGGTGGATACAGCCCCAGACATGGTGGTGGTGGCGGCGGACAGCTGTTTCTTTTCAAACATCCGCCCTGTCTTCCATTTATCAAGGACAGTTGGGTCTGACTTTTAATAGGGAAAAGAGGGAGGGGGGGGCTGTGGCTCAGTGGCAGAGCCTCTGCTTGGCATACAGAAGGTCCCAAGTTCAATCCCCGGCATCTCCAGTTAAAAGGAGCTTCTTTCCCCTTGGTCAGTTACTGTAGCCCTTTCCCCCCCCCCCCCCGGTTTCTCAGTCATTTCAAAGGCAATACTGACTTTGCAAGCATACCTGTTGTGTGAGAACTTTTATGTGCTCTGTACTAGGATTTGAAAGAGTTTTTCCTGAATGATGTAGTAACAGAAGACAACACATTGTTCCTATTGATGTTCTTTGGAAGAAGTCGTACTACGAAACGGAAACGTACTCCGGGGAGTTTCGTCAACCTCTTCAAAACCTCTTCGGAATTATGATCTTTTCCACGTTGTTGAAGATTTTGCCTTAAGAATTGTTTCTATGTCTTGAGAGATTATAGCGCATTTACATCAGCTTGTGTGTTCTTTATTCTAGTGTGTATAAACAGCTGTGACCTTCTTGTTTGTATATTAGGATCTGAGAGAGCCAGGTTTGAATCCCCATTCTGCCATGAAAGCCTGCTGGATGATCTTGGGCCAGTCACATACCTTCAACTTAACCTACCTCGCAGGGTTGTTGTGAGGATAAAATAGGGAGGGGGGAATGATGTAATCTGCTTGGGCTCCCCACTGGCAAGGATGTAGTATAAAGGAAGTAAATAAAATCAGAACCTGGGACTGCAAAAAAGAAAGGAGTGTTTGATACCTGTTTTCATTCATGCGCCGTTTACTGTTAAGGTAATTTCCAACTTTCCACGTGAACCAGGCAGCCCTGTCATGTCTGGCTTAGTCTTGGGAGCACTAGAAGGAACGTATGGTGAGATGGTGTTCCCTTGGAGAATCTGGAGCCTTAAATTTTCAGTCACCTAGGCCCGAACCAGTTTTTTCCTAGTTTTCAAAACTACTGTGGTGAGGGCGGAGTGCATTGAAGCAGGGTCCTTTCAGGCCCGTAGCCAGAAATTTTGTGGGGGGCAACAAGGGGGCAGCTTAGTGCAGTGGAGCTGAGAGCATGGGAGGGAGAGGTGGGTAGAGGGTGAGGGAGGCGCTGCACGGCGGAGGGTTGCTGGAACTCGTGGGATCGGCTTGCCCATGAAGGCTGCGGCCCTTTTGGCCCCTGACCTGACCTAGATGAGCTGGCCTGGCCTGGGTGCTTTCCTCACCAGGAAAGGAAAGGGTGACTCACCTGCAGACTGTGTGGCGCTGGGATGCCAGTGTGGGAAGAAGAGATGGGGGAGGAAGGGTGGTGGGCTTTCCTTCTGAGGAAAACATCCCACCCTAAGGTGGAGGCCCTTTTCACTGGGCGAGGGGCACGCAGAGAGGGAAGAGCCATGGCAGTGAGAACTGCCCCGGGCCTCCTGGAAGGGTCCCTCTACCCCAGCCCTGGCTTTGGTGGCCTCCGGCAGGGGCTTTGTGTGCATGCCCACCTCACCGCCAATCCCTGCCCCACCGGAGCAGGCAGCCTGCAACCTATCCCAGGCACCAGGCACCTCCTTGCTACCCCGTCTGCCTCCAGCCCGCCCCCCTGCTTCTTCCCCCATGCTCGCAAGGCTCTGGCTTGGTTTGCGCCTCACTGGGAAGCTAAGAGGGGTGGAATGAAAACAAAAGGGCACGGTTGTTTTGAGAGGGGCATGGCAAATTTGGGAGGGGGCATTGCTCCCGTGGGCCCCCTGTGGCTGTGGTCCTGGTCCCTTTAGGCCTCAGATGTGGGAAGAGAAGCTTGCTGGCTCCTTCACTGACTACGGAGAGTCCCCAAGTGCCTTCTTCCGTAGCTGCCTTCAGGCCTTTTTATAGGTGGCTCTCTCGTTCTGTCCAGTTCTTTTTTGTTTGGCTAGCCTGTGCAAGGAAGCAGAAAGGCTCAGAGGCGAGGAGGCTAGCCTGATGTGCAGCCAGAGGTGTTTATGTGGCCTCGTGCCTTTCTACATAGAGGCAGAAGAGTGCCAGTTTGGTGTAGTGGTTAGGAGCGCAGACTCTAATCTGGGAGAACTGGGTTTGATTCCCCACTTCTCCACATGCAGCTGCTGGTGTGACCTTGGGTCAGTCATAAGTTCTTTCAGAGCTGTTCTGTCAAGGCCAGTTCTCTCAGAGCTCTCTCAACCCCACCTACCTCACAGGGTGTCTGTTGTGGGGAGCGGAAGGGAAAGGGATTTTAAGCCACTCTGAGACTGCTTCGAGTAGTGAAGGGTGGGGTATAAATCCAATCTCTTCCTCCTCCTTGAAGCTGTCTTACACTGAATCAGACCCTTGGTCCATCAAGCCCGGTATTGTCCTCTCAGAGTGGCCGCAGCTCTCCAAGATCTCAAGCAGAGCTCTTTCACATCACCTTCTACCTTTTGACCGGAGATGCCAGGGACTGAACCTGGGACCTTTGCCTTGCCAAGCAGATGCTCTGCCACTGAGCCAACGGCCCCTCCCCGAGGGCTAATGACTTTTCATTTTCTTTTCAAAAGATGTCAGCGGTCCTTAGAAGATGCTTCTTTGTCTTTCCGCAGGGTATCGGGAAGGATTTCTTTGGAAGAGAGGCCGTGACAATGGGCAGTTCTTGAGCCGGAAGTTTGTGCTGTCCGAACGGGAGGGAGCCCTGAAGTATTACAACAAAAATGACGTAAGAGCTCGGGATGGGGACAGACTGCTGCCTTTCTGCCCGAGGATGGAGTGAAGCATCAGGGCCTGCAGCTGCACTTGCTGGCATCCGTCTGATGTTCAGTTGATTAATCAATCAGAACAATCGGTTTGAGACATTTTGTTGGATTTAAAGCTGCCCTCAGTTCTCTGGTCGGCAGATACCATCTTATAAGATGCCCACTGGCTTTTGACGTAGGGAAGAAGAGCGGGGAGGGGTGTGGTGGATCATTACAGCTGCTGTCTAAGGAGAGGTATTCCCACTTCTCTCTCACACAGATAGGAATGCCTTTTTAAAGAGAGCATCTTCAGGGTGTATAAGAATTATCTAAGAAGAGGCATCCTTCCTTCTCTCACACAGAGGATGGAATGCCTCATCTAAGAGGGAATGTGCTGTATGTAAAGGAATTATCCAGGGCTCTTTTTGTAGCAGGAACTCCTTTGCATATTAGGCGACACACCCCTAATGTAGCCAATCCTCCAAGAGCTTACAGTAGCCCCTGTAAGAAGAGGTGTGTCGCCTAATATGCAAAGGAGTTCCTGCTACAAAACAAGCCCTGGAATTATCTAAGAAGAGGCATCCTTCGTTCTCTCACACAGAGGAGGGACTGCCTCTTCTAAGAGAACGTCCGCAGTGTGGTAAAGGAATGATTGAAGAAGAGGCATCTCACCTTTTCTGTCACAGAGGAGGAGATGCCTCTTCTAATAGAACATCTACAGTATGGTAAAGGAATATATAAGAAGATGTTAAGATGTTGAGCTGCAGACTGGAAGGTCTGTAGTTCAGCAGTTCAAGACCCGAGTGCCGCATGACAGAGTGAGCTCCCTTCTCTGGCCCCAGCTCCTGCCAACCTAGCAGTTCGAAAGCAAGAGATTGCAAGTAGCTAAATAGGTACCGCTTCGGTGGGAAGGTAACAGCGTTCTGTGAGCCTCAGTGTTTAGTCATGCTGGCCACATGACCACAGAGAAGTCTTCGGACAGCCCTGGCTCTTCGACTTGAAAATGAGCACTGCCCCTTAGAGTCGGATTCGACTGGCTTTCAAGCAAGGGAAACGTTTACCTTTACTAAGAAGAGGGAAGGCCTCTTCTAAGAGAACATTCGCAGTGTGGTAAAGGAATTATTGAAGAAGAGGCATCTCACCTTTTCTCTCACAGAGGAGAAGATGCCTCTTCTAACAGAATATGTACAGTATGGTAAAGAAATATATGAGAAGATCTAAGAAGAGGCATCCCCCCTTTTCTCTCACAGAAGAGGGAAGGCCTCTTCTAAGAGAACATCCGCAGTGTGGTAAAGGAATTATTGAAGAAGAGGCATTTCACCTTTTCTCTCACAGAGGAGGCAGTGCTCTTCTAAGAGGTGTGGCCATGATCTAACAAGACGCATCCCTCCTGTCGTTTTCAAAGGGGATTAGTTTGCTTTTCCTTCTGCCACCTTTGCTAAAACGCTGTCCCCCTTGGTGTATCGGCTGTCATTGTCATTGAGGAAGTGAGAGTCCACCGCAATCCAGCATGAGTTACTATAATCCAGCCTACTCATTTTTACTGGCCATTTCAAAACCCTTGCCACAGTGCTGATGTCATCCTACAGGATTAGGGGAACTGCCTTGTCCGGGTATATGCATTTCTGCATTTGACTTAAAAGTGCCTGCTTGCTTGATGCACAAGGTTCTAAAATTAAGCCTGTCCGAAGACTCCAACAAGATGTTTTCTCCCCCGTTCTTCCACATTAAGACATGAAGGTATCAAAATCACATAATGAAGGTACCAGACCCGCATAATGAAGGCCTGATCCAGTGGCATGCCAGTGTAGATGAGGACTGCAGTGTCTTCCAAGAGCTCCCTGCAAACAGAGCCCCCTTTACTCTTAGTGCTTGGGAGATGATTGAATAGCAAAATGAATCGTGAAAACCTCTGTTTGTACAGAGCTACATGTGTGCAATGCAGAAGTTTGGCTTAAGAGAGTGCCACCTGTGTAGTGCAGAATGACCCTTTGATTGTACATATCTGTAGCACAGGATGCATTAGTTGGCCACACATTAGTGCACTTCCAGTGTGCACATGTGGGTTTTTTAAAAATCCCCTCAGCCAATCAGAAGCCTTGCTGGGAAAAAGCCCCACCCAGCCCCACCCACTTTTTAAAGATGCCTGGGCGAGCACCAGGAAAGGTATCAGCGGGTGCCATGGTGCCCATGGCACAGTGTTGGAGATCCCTGGTTTAAGGTAATGCAAGCACATGCCTTGGTCCAAATCTCTAGGGTGTGCACACGAAATTATGTGCGCTGGCTCCTTCCTTTATCTTCAAGGCTGGGGAAACCTATTACACACACAGATTGCCGTAGTATATTCAGAGCTATTTTCAAAAGACTCTCTTTATTTTGCACACATTTCTTGGTGCACAAACTCAACTGCTCACTGGAGCTACTGGATCAGGGCCGAACCGTCTGAGTGGAATGCTTTTTGTTCCACCAGTCAGCATGTCTGTGCTGCCTGCACCCTGGCTCCTTACCATTGTTTCTTTTTCCCTGGCAGGCCAAGGAGCCGAAAGCAATTATGAAGATCGAGCACTTAAATGCGACTTTCCAGCCTGCGAAAATTGGGAACCCACACGGATTGCAGATCACGTACTTGAAAGACAACAGCACGAGGAACATCTTTGTTTACCATGAAGATGGCAAGGTGGGGGCTCAGAAGTAAGAAAGAAGGCTGTCCTAGGGGCCGCTTTGCGAGGAAGGGGGAATGGAGTGGGTGCAAATGACTCACACAGTCCCTTTTTTGTGTGTGTGCAAATGGGAAAAGTCATGCGTTTCTCCCAGTTCTGTCACAGCCTGGAAGCGAACCTACAGGATTCCAAGCTTAAATGGGGAATACTGGGGTGTGTGTGTGTGTGTCTTGTCTGGAGTTGCAGTCATCTGGCACCAAGTAGTAGGTATCTGCCAAAGGATACCATGGCCCAGTGAACAAGATCCTGATACTGGGGTGGGAGGAAAAGAATAAGAGAGAAAGACAGACACACAGAGAGATACAGAGAGTCCTCTTCAGGACCAGGGAGAGCTCCCAGCTTGAGAGATGTTGTTTTGAGGAGTCCAGGTTCAACTGAGCTCCAGAATGGTAGAAGAGCAAGCATAACTTTACCAAGCCAAATGCCCTGTACTCTATCATCAATAGGCGGCCTCCAGATGCACCATCCTCTGCTGAAAATGTACAGAGGAATGAGTGGTTGGTGAGGTGGTGGAGCTACGCATTCTGGGTTGGATCCAGACTGAATTTGCCATTGGCAGAATTCCTCCCCCCCCTCCCCATTGAACCCCTTGACCTCCTGGAGATGCTGCTCCTGGGGGGAATAGGGGCATCTGAGGAGCAATGTGAAGGGGGGGACTGGCAAAGGAAAAGAGGGATCACAGGAAAGCTCCAGTTTTGTCTCAATCCAACCATGACAGACCTGTCCATCACACCAACCCTCAGGTTTCTCACAGGAAAAGTCTCAGATCCCTCCCTTCGTGCCAAGTGCCTAGTCAAGCACTGGGTCTCCCTCCTCTAGAGGGCTCTGCGGTATTGCTTTCCCTTGGGGCTAACCTTCTGACTGTCTGCTGGGTCTTCTAAGGCATCTGCCTCCAGATGGCCCCTCTGTGCCACATCACTGATGCCACGGAGTGTCCCCTGCAACTCTTGGTGGCTCCGTGCATTCTTAAAATGTTGCCCCTGGTCCTGTCCTGTGTATTTTGATGAATAGATCTGACCTGAAATGAATTCTAGGTGGTCAAGCCAGGAGAATTGATCAGAGTGGTGTACTTCCATAATTTATGTAACATTAAAGGACAATGAACGTCCTTTAATATTAAAGGAGAATTTCTGCTTAAAATGCTAAAAAGGAACAAATAGAGTATCCTTCTTTGTTATGGAGCTATCAGTGGTCTCCCATCTATCTAGGCTTGCCAGGCCTCCCACTATGGCCTTCCATTGTGGCTTCCTGCTGGCAAGGCCTGTTGCCTGCTGCCACTCTGAGTATCTTAAAAACAGGGTTGTCATAGACATCACTATGTTAAAACCTGGAAGTGATCTAGGGTATCTCTGGGAATCACTGGAAGCTCTATGGTTTTACCATAGAGTTTCCAGCAATTTCTAGAGCTACCCTTTGTTATTTCTGGGTTTTGCCTGGAAGTGATGTAGCAACGTTGCCTGCAACCTCCCTCCCCAATGTCCCTGCCCACAGCCCTCCTTCCAATTGCCAGGCTTGGCCTGGCAATCTGAGGAGCTGACCAAGGCTGCTTCCAGACTACCCAACCTTTTCTTCAAAAAGAGGGGGGAAACGGGTTGCCTTGTTTATTGTTATTTTTGACTCCCTCTGTTGAGGGTGGATTCAGCTGACTGGGAGCTGCATCTTCTTGCTCCAAATGCTAGTGATTTGTTTTTCCACTCTACATTGCTTTCACTCACCGGCTCTGACTCAGTGCTGCATCTGATTGCTGAGTCTCCACGCCTTGCAGTTCATTGCTCAGCACTGTGGGATGCTCCATCTCAGCAAACAGTGGCAGCGGCCACTTGGTGCCTGAATCGGGCCACAAATGGCTTGGGGCCAGGGTACCTGGAGGGAACCACCTCCTCCCATATTGACTAGCTCCAAAGTTAAGACGTGTCTCTAAAGGCTTGTTATCTGTCCCTCTGCCTTCAGAGGTGAAACAGGTACTGATTAGAGTCAGGGCTTTTTCAGTGTTGGCCCCTCATGTTTGAAATGCCCTCTGCATTGAAGCTTGCCTTGCACCTATGTTTAGGTGTCCTTTAGGTGCCAAATCAAAACGTCTTTTGACCCAAGCTTTAAATTAAGGGCTTTCTCTTCCCAGCTGTTTTGGTCTGCTTCTAGTCTGGTTCTATTCTGTGGGGTATTTGTATTCTGTTTTTTATGACCCTGGGCTTGTTTGAACAGCTTGTTGGTTTTTATATTGATAATTCATGGCTTTTTTTTCTGGGGGAACATGCCAGAACGGAGTTCCGGAACCTCTACAGCAAAATTCTTTTTAAAATGTTTAAAAGTTCATGAGTGTTCAGTATAGAGAGGGGTGGGGTTTGGAGAGAGGAAGAGCTTCAGCAGGGTATAAGGCCACAGAGTCCACCCTCCACAGCAGCCATTTTGTCTAGAGGAGCCAGTCTCTGTACTCCGGAGGTGAGCTGTAATTCCGGGGGGATCTCAAGGTTTCACCTGGAGGTTGGCAGCCCTAGCCATCAGTGGGTACAAGATGTGCTGTTTTGTCTGAGGAATCTGCAGAATGTGTTTCTGTGTGAGGACAGAGTATCATTTGTGGTTTTCTCCCCAAACAGAAACAAGTTATAGGCACACCCCGCCATGATAATAAATGGCTGGTAATTCAGGCGGTAAACCAGTAAGGTAAATGAGCAGGCATAAAATGAGTTAAGACTTCCCTGTTTTTTCTGACACCGGAAACCCTGGTCAAGGCCATGCTCAAGCCCTGATTCCACCCTCCAAACGTGGAGCAAGCTTAATTCCCCAGACCTTTCCTAATGACATTGCCGCAGAGTTTCATTTTCACCCAAGTTTCTTTGTGGCTGAATCGCCCTCTGCAGGCCGTCTTGCAGTACTGCCACATTCTCTTCCTCCCGTTTGACCGGCCTGGAAGATGTTTTTAAAAGGATAAAGCAAAGAGCAGTTTTGGGGCACCTTAAAGAACAGTAAGTTTTATTTGAGCATCAGCTTTCACGGGGAAAGAGCCCCCTCTTTAAGGTGCCCCAAGAGTCCTTTCTTTCCTCCTCTTTTTGCTGCACTGGGCTAACATTGTAGGGTTGCCAGCTCTGGGTTTGGGAAATTCCAGGAGATTTGGGGATGGAGGTTGGGAGAGATGAGGGAACTCAGCAGGGTATAATACTGTAGAGTCCTCCCTCCCAAGCAGCTGTTTTCTCCAGGGGAGCTGATCTCTTGTCGCCTGGAGATCTGTTGTAATTTCAGGAGATCTCCAGCCCTCACCTGGAAGTTGGCAAGGGCGCCCCTCTGGAATTAAAAAGTTGCATGCAGGCATGTTTGCCACAGCAACAGTGGCACTTAAACTGTACTGCGTGAAAAGCAAAGCGCTGTAACGCTGTTCCGTGGAAACTGTGGAAATAACCCCAACTTGTGCAGCCTCACTTCATCTCTGGCATGTTAAAATCAACACGGGGGTTGATTTATTAGGTGCAGACTGTGAATAGTGTAAAGGCTTTTTTTTTTTTGGCATGTCTTATTTCATGGTTTTCTCTCCCCACCCAATCAGGAAATGGTGGACTGGTTCAACGCCATCCGTGCTGCTCGATTCCATTACTTGCAAGTGGCATTCCCCGGAGCCAGCAACATTGACGTGAGTTCCCATTTTTAAATTCTGTTTTCTTCCCCCCGCCCCACACCCCACCGTCATTTTGGTCCCTTGTTGGCCTGCTGAGTGCCTGGGAACAGCTCTGCAATTGAAGACCTGGTGCTTTTGCTGGTGTTACATCATCTTGGCATCTAACGCAGAAAGCCCAAGCGACACCCATACCTCCTGGCCAATGTATATGGGATGCAGTCCCATAGACAGACTGTTTCTTTCTGTACTTGCTTCATTTAGACCCCACTTTCCTCCCCAGTGGGGACCCAAAGCAGCTTACTACATTCTCCCCTCTTCCATTTTATCTTCACAATGACCCTGCGCGGTACATTAGATTGAGAGGGTGTGGTTGGCCCAACTTCGCAAGCTCTCTGGGCCAGAGCGGGGATTCGAACCTGAGTCTCTCAGATCCTAGTCCAATATTCTGACATCTGCACCAGGCTGGTTCTCTCTAGTTGTCTTGTGCTAGCTCTCTTGACAAGAACGGGAGCCACCCAGGAGCGCTGCTGTCAAACTGGGCCTCCCTAGGTCAAAGTGGCCTTTTTCCTGTTCTGCTTAAAGAATGCTGTCTCAGTATGGATGGGAGCTGATAATATTAGGAGGAGGAGGAGGAGGAGGAGGAGGAGGAGGAGATTGGATTTATACCCCGCCCTTCACTACCCAGAGGAGTCTCAAAGCGGCTTACAAGCTCCTTTCCCTTCCCCTCCTCACAACCCCTGAGAGGTAGGTGGGGCTGAGAGAGCCCTGACAGAAACTGCTCTTTTTCAAGAACAGCTCTGACAGAACTATGGCTTGCCCAAGGTCATCCAGCAGGTTTGAGTGGAGGAGTGGGGAATCAAACCCGGTTCTCCCAGCTTAGCGTCCGCGCACTTAACCAATACACCAAACTGGCTCTCATTAGGGGATATGAATGGGATTATGGAAACAAGATACAATTCATCCCCAGGATTTACCTCTCAGATTTCAGGAAATTTTAAACAATGGTTAGAGGGCATGGTTACGTTGGCCGTCTTTAGATATTTCACAACTTTAGCTATAATGTCTTGTGTCTGACAACAGGGGCCCTGACTCTCGAAAGTCAGGTGCTACTGGACTCAAATCTAACCGTTTAGATATAACTGTCCGTCTAAGAAGGAGTACACTTTTTAGTCTCTGTAGGCAACTTTTCTTAAGAAGAATTTCACCTCCATAGAGGCAGGAATCCCCAAGTCTTGACTTCTGATGTCTTATTTAAATGGAGAAACCAGGAAGGGGGAGGCGCGAGAGATCTTTTTGTCAGCTTGGGGGGGGGGAGATCTCCCTGCCTTACGAGGCTTGATTATTTTTTCCCTCCCCAAAGAAAAGAAGCTTTTGAAGCTTTCTGCAGAATCGGGCAGATGCCAAGCAGGGCTTTCATCTGAGGACAGTTCAGCTCTGTGGCCTCCTTTCAAGACCGGGTTCCACTGGGGTCAGGGTTGCCAACTCCAGATTGGGGAGTTCCTGGATATTTGGGGGTGGAGATTGGAGATGGTGGGGTTTGGGGAGGGGAGGGATCTCAGTAGAATCATATAATTATAAGAATCACAGAGTTGGAAGGGACCCCCAGGGTCATTTAGTCCAACCCCCTGCACAATGCAGAAAATTCACAAATCCTCCCCCCCCCCGCGCACACACATACCCGCAGTGACCCTCGTTCTATGCCCAGAAGATGGCAAAAAACCTCCAGCATCCTGGGCCAAATTGGCCTGGAAAAAATTGCTTCCTGACCCCAAAGTGGCGATCAGCATTTCCCTGGGTGTGTAAGAAAGGGCCACAAGAACTAAGCACTGAGGCAACCCTCCCTGCCCTCCCTCTTGTGATCTGCCCAAGTTCACAGAATCCGCATTGCTGTCAGATGGCCAATCTAGCCTCTGCTTATAAACGTCCAAATAAGGAGATCCCACCTCCTCCTGATGAAGCCAGTTCCACTGAGGGACAGCTCTAACTGTCAGGAAGTTCCTCCTAATTTAATTTCACCCCATTGGTTCTGGTCCGATTTTCTGGGGCAACAGAAAACAACTCTGCACCACCCTGTATGTCAGCCCTTCAAGTACTTGAAGATGGTTATCAGATCACCTCTCAGTCGTCTCCTCTCCAGGCTAAACATGCCCAGCTCCTTCTTCAGCCTTTCCTCATAGGGCTTGGCCTCAGACCCCTCACCATCTTTGTTGCTCTCCTTTGGACACGTTCCAGCCATTGCTCCCTCTAAGCTGTAGAATCTTGTGAGCAGAAATTCTACTTTGTGAGCTACTAGCATTAAAGTTGTGAGCGAGCGATTTGGCTGCTGCATATGTTAGTTTGCTGTGGAGCCCTCCTTCTGCAGCAAAGGCAAAAATGTGTGAGCCGGAGGCTAAAAAACTGTGAGCTAGCTCACACTAACTCAGCTTAGAGGGAACACTGTCCAGCTTGTCTATATTCTTCTTAAATTGTGGTGCCCAAAACTGAACACAGTACTCTAGGTGAGGTCTAACCAGAGCAGGGTATAATGTCCTGGAGTCCACCCTCCACAGCAGGCATTTTCTCCAAGGGAACTGATTTCTGTAGCCTGACGATCAATTGTAATCCCAATTGTAATCTCCATCCCTCCCCGCGTGGAGGTTGGCAAACCTACCCGTGATAGGTGTGATGGTGACAGAGTAATGACTGTTGTTTCATGGTATGTGCTGAGCACCTTGCCTGTCCTTAGTAAGTAAGCCAAACTAATCTGTGCATGTCAAGGATGAAGGGCCAAAACAGAGACACGGGCTTAGCTGCTTGCCAAAGATCTTTACCCCAGATGGGTGTATCTGTGTAGCACAGGGGGCATCCCAGTTTAAAGCAGAGGTTGTGCCACAGATGGAGGATGGGTTCAGCACCATCCTCTCCTCTTGACAATAGCCCCCCACCCTGAACTCCAAAGGGATTACACAATTTGGGTGTCACAAGGCCACAGTTTTATTTAAAGAGCTGCTGTGTAGCCTAAGCAAACTCTGGGCACATTACAGGACCTCTGGGGAAAAGATTAGAAGCTGCCTTGGTCAACGCTGTCAGGACAAGAGGTTGGATCCAGACTCAATGGGTCACTTTCACCAACCCCCCCCCTTTCCACTGCATCTCTGCCACATCGTTCCTCAGGGTCCCATCCCCCGGGAGCAGCATTTCACGGAGACTAGTAAGCTGCTGTCATGGGCCCTGGCTCAGCCGAGGCTGACTATTCCTCAGACGAGGAAGGGGCATGGAGCAACCCAGCATCCTCCGGAGTCAGCCCAGAAGAGAAACCTTTGCCAGCACCTGAGGGAGAAGAGACTCCAGCATCTGCGCAGGAGGTGCAGCAAGGCAAAAAAACTGAGGTGCAGTCAGAGGGAGGGCCTGGTCCAGAGCCTGGCCCAGCACCCCCAGTTACAGACACCTCGAGGCCAGAGTCCCCACCTAGCGCACCTGACTGTCCCAGACGCGGGGCACACCAGCATCTGAATGTGCAAGACAGAAGGAGAAGTGCCAGACTTCAGCGGTTGCAAAGGCAACGTGAGGGGCTGTGAGTCTTTGCAGGTCGCCTCCCAGGGAAGGGAGGATCCGGTCATAAGCAGCCACGCTCACCTGCCTCGGTGCAGATGCAGCCGTGCAGTCTTGGGCCTTGTCCCACCTGCCAGCCTCCGCTCATTGCTCCTGAGAACTCTGACTGATATCCCGGCATTCCAACCCCTGGCACTGTTTCTCGGCTTGGTTTGGACTTTGCATTTAGCTTAAGTATATTGTGTTTGTGGTGACCGGCCAGAGCCAGCACAGCTGCATTGGGAAGGGAAGGCGGGAAAGTTCAATCCAAAAGGAGTCCTAAAAATGGTTAGAATTTGTGCCTAGTGGGGCACAAATGCAATTTCTCATATGTGGTCCCTATAAAGTACTGAGACTGATGCGTAGTAGTGTGATTACAGCTCATACTTTATTGGTTACATGGAGAACTAGAGAGGCTAGGTCTGGCCCGATGCCAGCTTTTATTCCCATATCAAACCACACCCAAACACACACCCACACCCGTGATATGCTATTTACAGTGCACTTGAGCCCCATAGGTCCTTACTCGGATCCTAGCCCTCTGATAGGTGCATGCTTGGATCCGTTCGGGCTATTGTCTCTATGAGCGAAGCTAGGGCCCTTCGCATGGCCACATGCGAACCCGACCGTGTGCACGGTCATACTTGGTACACAACAGTCCCCACTGATCCCCCCCCCGGTGCACCCTCCCCTGGCTGGTGGCCATTGGCCACATTTGGTGCTCCTCAGTCCCCCAAAGATCTGGGGCCACCGGCTTTATGCCATGTGTCTGTCTTGGAGGGCTTAAATGCCTTGTAGCATCCCTCCATCCTCCATGAATGGCCAGGTAGTCAAGGGCTCCTTGTTGCGTGGCTCTTCCGGGAGCTGTGGCAATAGCTTCCTTCCCCCTTCTGAGAGGGGCATACCCCATTTGAGAGGAAAATTCTCCCCACACTTAATGACCTGAAGACTGGACTCCCATCCCCCCCCCCTCTAATGTCTTCTGCTGCTGGAAGGATTTTGCGTAGTTTCTTTTTAGTGCGTGCTTTGTGTCTGATGCAATTACTTTTAAAATTAATTAATAACCGTTTCTAATTAATCACCCCGACGGATTGAATTTTGCCAATTGTTTTTGTTAATGGCAAACACGTGTCATTTGTTAATGGCAAACACCCTGATAAGAGGGTTGCATTTGAACTCATTTAGTTTGCTAATTTCTATCCTTGTTTGCCTTTTGTTTAGTATTTTTCAACGTATAATTGAATTGTGACACATCAAATTGGAAACAGGAACACAACAGCACCTAACATGCAATGCTCCCTCTAAGCTGTGGAGTCTTGTGAGCAAAAATTCTACTTTGTAAGCTACTAGCATTAAAGTTGTGAGCAAACAATTTGGCTACGGCATAAATTAGTTTTCTCTGGATCCATCCTTCCTGAGCTAAGACAAAAATCTGTGAGCTGCAGGCTAAAAAACTGTGAGCTAGAGGCTAAAAAGCTGTGAGCTAGCTCACACTAACTCAGCTTAGAGGGAAGATTACTAACATGGCATTTTGCTTTACTGGAGCGAAGTAGTTTTCTTTCTTAGTTGGGGTAGGAAACTAAACATTCACAAAGTGATATAATGTTAGCATTATCAACAGAGGGCTTATGCTGTACTTGATGAAACTTCCTCCTGAAAAGGTACAGGCCAGGCAGAGGGTGGTGTTTATGGATCAGCTGAAAGAGTCAGGAATAGGAGTTGAGAAAGACAGTGGTTCTTGAGTTTTAATGATGGTTAATTTAGGTAGAAATGATTGATAGGTGAGGTCTCGTGGATAGCAAATAATAGTACAAAGTTGAGTCCAGTGGCACCTTTAAGAACAAAAAAGTTTAATTCTGGGTGTGAGCTTTCGTGTGCAGGCCCACCTCTTCAGATACACTGAAACAAGACTTCTTCAACCATTGCATATAGGTAGGAGGGGTTAGTTGCCAGGAAGGGCTAATTAGAATCAAGATGCATAAGTAACTGAGTGATAAGTATAGCAAAGATTGGATTAAAGCAGTAGGTAAATCCTGTGAATAGTAGCAAGTTAGCATACAGATAATAAAAGAATTAACAAACAGATGCGAGAACTAAGTTTGAGTCCAGGGCACATTTAAGACCAACAAAGTCTAATTATGGGTATAAGTGAGAACTGAGTGATTTAGCATGTGCAGTGAGATAAGAACCCAATATCTCTGTTAGGCTCTGGGGGTTCCATTGTTCTGAGTGTTGGAACAACTTGTAATTCGAACCAGTCTGTTTCTGAAATTCCTTTGCAATAAAACAGCCACTTTGAGGTCCCCTGGTGAGTGCCCTGAGAGGTTGAAATGTTCTCCCACAGGTTTCTCAATTTTGTGATTCTTGATGTCAGATTTGTGTCCATTTTTCCTTTGGGTTTGACAAATAATAGTATTTTTCTAACGGCTGTTACCTGCCCTGGATAGCACAGGCTAGCCCAATCTCATCAGATCTTGGAAGCTAAGCAAGGGTTGGCTCTGGTTAGTATTTGGGTGGGAGACCATCAACAAAGTCCAGGGTCACTACAGAGAGGCTAGTGTCTGGCCTAGGGCACAGCTCCGTCCAGGGCGCCAACTGCCCTGCCACCGCCGCCCCCAAAGGACCCCACCATCCCTGCCGAGCCGCCTGCGTTTTTCCCCGCCCCTCTCCTCCGGCGCAGGCCAGCTCTGCTCAGCTGGGGCTGAAATCCCTCAGCTCCCCAGGAAGCTGACTCGGGTGGCCGCTGGCTAGGGGCTCCCCAGAGGGGGGGGAGGGAAGAGGAGCGCGGGGCCCCTGGCCGGGCCTGCCTACCTGCCTGCGGGGATGGGGGGGGCATGGCTGGGCGCTTCTCTGCCTCTTCAGGCTGCCGTGGAGGAGTGGAATAGGGAGCGCACGTGGAGGTGACCGGCTGGGCTAGGGGGGCAGTGCCTGCCGAGCACACATTGGTTTCCCCCACCCCTCTCCTCCGGTGCAGGCCGGCTCCGCTCAGCTGGAGCTGAAATCCCCATAGTTATTTGCAGGGGTAATTTCCTGCAGGAGCGCACAGGAGCGGAGCTCCGGCTGTAAAGAGCCCAGGGGGCGGGCACATGCAACAAGCCCCACCCCCTGCTCCCAGCAGCCCTCAGTCAGGGCAAGAAGCAGCCAGGTAAGTAGCAGAGCCCCCCCCCGTCCCCCCGGTCCAAAACAGTCCAGTGGCACCTTTAAGATCAGGTTTTATTCAGGTACAAGCTCTCCCTCCTCTGCGAGAACAGATCTGCACGTTCCCCCCCTCAATAGCTAGCAATTCTTGGTGCTTGGGGGGGGCAACAGTGGGAGGGCTTCTAATGTCCTGGCCCCACTGGTGGACCTCCTGATGGCACCAGGTATTTTTGGCCACTGTGTGACACAGAGTGTTGGACTGGACGGGCCACTGGCCTGATCCAACATTGGCTTCCCTTATGTTCTTATGAGATTTTGGGATGGAGCCTGGGGAGAACAGGGACCTTCATGGGGTTCAATGCCATAGAGCCTACTGTCCAAAGCATCCATTTTCCCCAGGGGAACTGATCGCTGTAATCTGGAGATGAGCTGTAATTCCAGGGGGTCCCCTGGTCCCACCTGGAGGCTGGCATCCCCAAAGCTGGGGTCTAGTGTCACAAACACCAGAGGAAAATTTTGAAAAGGCTTCGGAGGGATGAAAATGGGGCACAATTGGCAAATGAATATATCTGGCTCCTCTCTAAAGTCACGTCTTTAGGGGCAAAACCCTAGAGATTGTAACTGAGGCGATGGTATTGGGGAAGTGTGGGTGTTAACTCTTCCTCCCTGTGTCAGCACCGTGGCCCTGGTCTATCTCTTCTCCTCTCCGTCTGCCGCCATGGCTGGGCATTTGAGGGGTTGAATAACACCCATGGAAAGAGTTTTTTAATGGAGAGGAGAATCCACATGCTGTAGTTTGGCCCAGAGCCTGTCTGAATGTCTGCATTTCCCCACAAACTTTGGCTGCAGGCAATCAATGAAAAGATGTGATCTGTCAGAGGACCAGGGGTCTCCAACCTCTTTGAGCCTGTGGGCACCTTTGGAATTCTGACACGACATGGCAAGGGCAGCAACAAAATGGCAGCTGCTGCCAAAGCAACATTTAAAAAAATCTGCACAGCCAATTATATCTCCAGTAATCAATCAAAGCTCTACCTGGCCCCACCCACTTTCTAAAAACGCTTTGTCGGCTCCAGAAAAGGTGTTGGCAGGTGCCCCAAGGGCACGACCTTGGGGACCCTGTCACAGGAGATAAAGACTGGGCTTTCGATCCCTCTCACCCGCTCTGCTGCTTTGTATCTGCACTAACCCTGTGCGTTATTTCCCTCTCTCTCCCTTCTGTGTTTTCTCAACTGTAGCTGGTGCCAAAACTTTCTAGGAATTACCTGAAGGAGGGTTACATGGAGAAAACTGGACCCAAGGTGAGGCACGCTGCACTTTCTGTTCACGTCAAAAGCAAAGACGTTGTTTCTGTTGTGTCGCTCGGAGACTTCAGGTTGGAAAATGAAATGTGGTTTGGGCTGTCCGATGTGCTCTAACCCTATTCCCATTTGCCAGTGTCAACCTTTCTCTCCTCTCCTCTCCTCTCCTCTCCTCTCCTCTCCTCTTGTGAGCACATGGTAGATTCGGGACAAAGCACTGCTGCGTTAAAGCCAAGCGCACTCTGTTAAACAAAGAAGGACCTGGATCACCAAAACCAGTACCCTTCCTGCAAATTCTGCTTTCAGGCTGTCCAGATTGTGCAGTGAGAGAAACTGCATTGTACGAATTGAGGCAATTGGCATATTATTCTGCAGGGTTTGCCATTTTGCGTTATTTACTCTGGAGCGAATAGTCCCGGGGGGGGGGGGGGGAGGGGCTAGGCAGGGCATCCCAGACGATCCCAGCAACAGGGATTCTTACTGAGACTTGCTTTTAACGCCAAAAGGAATTCTTCACGTACTTCCAAGCATATTCTTGGAGCCTGAAGGGCTAGAAGCCAGTGTGGTGTAGGGGTTAAGAGTGTCGGACTACAGAGGAGGGATCCGTTTTTATGTGGAATAATATGTGTTGTATGTTTACTGCCTAGGTGAGGGGTTGTTTGTGTTTAATAAAGATGAAATTATATATAAAAAAAGAGTGTCAGACTAGTGTCTGGGAGACCCGGGTTCGAATCCCCACTTGTGCCATGGAAGCTCACTAGGTGACCTTGGGCCAGTCACGCACTCTCAGCCTGGCCTACCTCACAGGGTTGTTGTGAGGATCACAGTGGAGCAGAGGAGAATGATGTAAGAGCTGCTTCGGGTCCCTGTTGGGGAGAAAGGAAGGGTATAAATTAAATAAATAAATAAACCCGGGGTGGTTTTTTTAATATGAAAGGCAAGTTTTGGGGAGGACTGTGTGCAGGATCACATTCTCTTAAAATATCTCTATCTGTATATAATCTTTAGGTGCTGCAGTGGCTCAGAGGTTAAGACGCTGAACTGCAGACCGGAAGGTTGGTAGTTCGGCAGTTTGAGACCCGAGTGCCACCGCATGATGGACTGCCAGCCTAGCAGTTCGAAAAGCAAGAAATTGCAAGTAGTTAAATAGGTACTGCTTTGGTGGGAAGGTAACAGTGTTCCATGTGCCTCGGCATCTAGTCATGCCAGCCACATGACCATGGAAACGTCTTCGGACAGCGCTGGCTCTTCGGCTTGGAAATGGAGATGAGGACCGCCCCCTAGAGTCAGATTCAACTGGCTTTCGAGCAAGGCAAACCATTACCTGTATATGATTTTTGTGGTTGTGTTTGTGACTAGCAATATGGAGATAAGCTAAAAACGCTACAGATATGCCAGTAACAGAAGCCCTAAACATCAAACTAAATTTGATTTGCAAGTTTCAAGTCCAGGAGCACCTTGGAGACCAACTAGATTTCCAGCATATAAGGGCTTTTGGATCAAATCTCCCTTTGTCAGATACGGAGATGGAGAGTTGACAAAGGGAACTTTGACTCTTGAAAGCTTTAACCTAGGAAACCTCCTTGGTCTTCAAGGTGACACTACACTAGAATCTTACTGTTCAGACCAATATTCAGACCAACCCACAAGGGTTGCCAGGTCTCCATGATGTGCCGGCGGGGGGTGGGAGGGAGCCTTTCGGGATTAGGGTGCGGCTCTGCCCCCAGACAGTGATCTTGTGCAGCAACGTCCCCAACTCAATGACATCATGTGGAAGTGACATCATCATGTTGGTGACGTTGCATGGCAACACTCTGGTTTGAGGGCAAAACTCTGTGGTAAAATTGGGGTCAAACCATAGAGTTTTGCCCTCAAACCAGGGCGGCCAGAAGCCCTCAAAAGTGGGAATCCCTGCCTCAGCCTGGGGAATGGGAACCCTGCTACTCACCTGAAACTAAACTTGATTTTATATTGGCCCCAATCACATGCAGAATTTGCCACGGGATACTCACAAATGCCGGCTGGATTTTACTGTCGCGATCAAACGGACACATCTGGCCAGCGTCCCGCACCCGTCAGCAACCCGTAGCAGTCAGCCAAAGAAGCGGAGTTAAAAAGGACCTGTGAAAGTCCACTCTCAAATGGTTTGCAATGGGCTGCAGACGGACTTGCTCTGTGTGATCGCTCCAGCACGCTCCTTTTGCCTCTGTGCTTCCTCGTTGGAGCGCACCGGAAATACGCGTCCGCGGGAAGAAACCCGGTATACCGCCATTGCGTCTGATTGCCTCTGGCAGGTCAAATTGTGATGGCGCAAATAGCCACGCCTCCCCCCCCACGCGCACGCGCGTGATCCAGCACGTGTAACCGGGGCCATTGTTGGCTTTTACTCTGTTGGTTTTATAGATAGTTAACAGTAGACTTTATTGTTAATTGTTGCTTTTAAAAAAAAATTTAAACATGAAAGGGGTATATAAAAGTACTAAATAAATTAATACAAATTAGGCTTAGTTTCATGAGTCACTTTTAATAAACGTTGGTGTGACTGAGTAGGATCCTGCTAGGATCCAGAGCCGACCTGAATGCAGAATTGTTTAGTTCTGTCAAAGGGTTTCCAGGGCTTCTGGAGTTCTGGCCCCACTGCTGGACCTCCTGATGGCACCTGGTATTTTTGGCCACTGTGTGACAGAGTGTTGGATTGGACGGGCCATTGGCCTGATCCGACATTGGCTTCTCTTATGTTCTTATGTTCAGATCAGTGAATCCCTCTTTCCACTCTTTAGCAAACGGAAGGTTTCAAGAAGCGCTGGTTTACCATGGACGACCGAAGATTAATGTACTTCAAAGACCCCTTGGTAAGGCCTGTGTTTGGTTTTACATGGGACGGGTTCAGGGACCAGAGACTTGTGGGGGGGCCCATAGTCCAAGGGGTTGAGCCCAAGTCTCCCAGCACCACCTTCTGCAACCTGCCTTCCAGAAAAGTAGGGCTGCCAGCTCAGGGTTGGGGAATACCTGGAGATTTGGAGTCTGGAGAGGGGAGAGACCTCAGCAGGGTACAGTGCCATAAAGTCCACCCTCCGACGCGGCCCCTTTCTCCAGGGGAACTGACCATTCCATTCATTTTTATTGCTCATAGACCCATAAGTCATAAGCAAATAGGATATAATACAAAATACAACATATATACATACAGTACATTACAGTTTCACAAAATTAAGCAATTTGGTTACCAAATATATATTAACTGCCTAAAAGAGTCAATCCATGAATACCACCCAGGGTTACAGATAAAAACTTTGCCACTGCCAACGTCACATTTGGATCAGTATCAGCTAAGGGATTACCTACAAGTTCCTGATTAGTAGCAGGGCTCCATTTTTTGAATATACACTGAGATCCATCTGTCAAGAGCCATATTGTGTTTTCTGCGATCAATGAAAAAATGCCAAATTACAAGGGGAACTGACCTTTGGTTGAGGCAGCAAACACCCGAAGCCCTCGGCCTCCCCTGCTCCCACTGCCCGGTGAACTCCCCTTGTATGAATTGCCCTCTTAAACAAAACAAAACAAACCATCTCAGCATCCGCTGAATGGGCTCTGTTAGTTGGTCATCCAAATAAATAAATAAGATCTCTAACGTCTGGCGGTGGTCAGTTGTAATTGTGGGGAATTTCCAGGCCCCACCTGGAGGTTGGCAACCCCAGAGAAAGGTCCAAATCCCATCTAGCACAGCTCCAATCAGGGCCATCAGGGCCTCCCACTGAAATCCCCCTGGTCCACTTGCTCGATGATTGCTCTTTGCAGCTGAATTCCATGCCCTGATTTTGGTGCTTCCAAAAATCCATCTCTTCCTGAACATTTCGGTGATCAACATTAAGAGAACCTGCAAAGGAACAGCCAAGGCAGAGCAATGAAGATGAATTTCAAGCTACAGAGGGTGTTGTTTTTTTTTTTTGGAGGACTCCCTTTCTTGGTTTTCCATGTAAAAAATCAGGCAGGTTGTTGAAATCAAGGATCCCCCACCCCTTTGCTGAGCCAGGCGGCTATTGTGGGAGCACTCTGTCCCAGTCATTTTGGAAGGGGCCGGTTTAATCTGCTTCTGGCAGGTTTGGTTTTAAATTTGGCCTCCATGCAAGGAAAGGGGGAGCATGATAGCAGTCGTACTTTCCTGTGGACGATGATAGCCCTTTTGTCTTGAACGATGGCAAGATGGGAGTAGCCATAGGTCTGGAAGGAGGTGTTGGCAGACTCTTGAGAGCCACTGCCAGTCAGGACAGGCTATCCGGAGCTAGTCCCTGGCACTCCTAGTTAAAGGAACTCAGGTAGGGGGGTGTCGGGAAAGGCTGTTCTTTCTCTGGCCATCGAGTCACAGAAGGACAATATTGGACTAGCTGAACCAAAGTTGCACATACGACTCCAAGCAAAGCACCAAAAGGACATTGAGGCGTGGCTTCCGTGGCTTGTCATGAGGCAAGAAGATCTGAGCGGTAGGATTTTGCCTTCTCTCCCTCCTGATTTGTGGATGGCTTGAAAATGTAAACACTTCCTGCTTTTGTAGCAAGCTGTAGTTGGTTGTTGTGTCTCAATCATAAGCTATGGCTTGTTTGCGTCCCTCCAAAACGTGGCTCAACCACTGCTGGGTCCGGACCGTGCCTGAAGGTCAAGATGAGGACCATGTGGGCCATACCGGCTTTATCACACTTTGGGGACTTATTTCCCTCATTAGCAGGCCAGACCAGCCTGATCTTGTCAGAGCCTTGAAGCTGAGCAGGGTGAGTGCTTGGATGGGAGGCAGACTGGGGTTGCTATAGAGAGAAAGGCAATGGCGAGCCACCTCTGCTCCTCTCTTGCCTTGAAGACCCCATGAGGGGGAACTCTGTGGTGTTGACACAAGTCGGTTGTGATTTGATGGCACATTTTTTGCTTTGGGCTGAATGGCCCAGGCTAGCCCAATCTTGTCGGATCTTGGAAGTTAAGTAGGGTCTGGCCTGGTTATTACTTGGGTGGGAGTTACTTGGGTTGTGTGAGCAAGCCCTTACACGAAGCTGCCTTCTACCGAATCAGACCCTCAGTCCTTCAACGTTAGTATTGTCTTCTCAGACCGGCAGCCTTTCTCCACGGCCTTGAGGCGGAGGTCCTTCACATCACCTACTGCCTGATCTTTTTAACTGGAGATGTTGGGGATCGAACGCGAGGCCATCTGCATTTAGCGGGAGATGCTCTGCCACTGAGTTGGGGGGACCCCTTCTGTCTCCACATGGCTCTGAAAACATGCCATGCCTTGTAAATGCTCAGGGAGTGGGCTTTATTTGTCTTCTTACAGGATGCCTTTGCCAGGGGGGAGGTCTTTATCGGCAGCAAAGATAACAGCTACACAGTCTTGGAAGGACTCCCGCCGTCCATCCAGGGGAATCATTGGCAGCATGGAATCACCATTGTGACCCCGGACAGGAAGTTCCTCTTTGCCTGTGAGACGGAAAACGATCAGTTGGAGTGGATCGCTGCTTTTCAGAAAGTGATCAGCAGGCCCATGCTGCCGCAAGAATATGCAGGTGAGGCTAGCGGCATAGTGTGGTGGGAAATTTTGAAGCCAGGTGCAGAAAAACTGGTTTTCCCCACCATGTTTTTTTGGGAAATGGGGGGAAACGTTGGTGGAAAGCTGAAATATATGCAGTCAGGGCTGGCATTAGCATACCCTGAGGCAGTGCCCAGGACTTCAGTGGGGCCCACTGCCGCTGACCCTGACCCACACACCTCCCCTGCCTCCGGTCTGTATCCATGCTCCCAACTGACTGGAGACACTGAGGAAAGCCATGTGTGGGGCACACAGTGATGCTTTATTAGACTACAAGTCTGTTACCATGTCCACAAGATTATTGTTAGGAATGACCATGGGGCGGAAACATTGCTACATATAGCAGGATGAGGCAAATGGCTAAGCAAATTCAATCCGAACACGCGGGCAGGAATTCTCCGTGGGGCCCACTGCCGCTGACCCTCACCCACACACCTCCCCTGCCTCCGGTCTGTATTCATGCTCCCAACTAACTGGAGACACTGAGGAAAGCCATGTGTGAGGCACACAGTGATGTGAACCCCTCTCGGCCAAACTAAAAAAATACCCAAAAAATACCTTGTCAGTATTTTTTGGGTATCACAGAAGCCGAATATAGATCAGATCAGACATCTGTATTTGGCTATTGGTATAGCTGAACCCGAAAAAGCCGACATTATCCGGCTTTTTTTTTTTTTTGGTTCATTTTGCTATACTGAAAACGAGGTCTCATTTTAACCTAACAGGGTGAGCTGCCAGTCAGCTGCTGGGTTTAAATACCTTTAAACATGCCTGGGTTCCCTGCCTGATCTTCTCCAAGTGCCCCAGGGCTGCGGTCAGGTTCAACAGCAAGTAAATCTCCACACACGTTTCCAGGGAAGCGTTATGCTTTAATGCTACAAGTCTGTTACCATGTCCACAAGATTATTATAAATAATAATATTTATTTCAGCTTGCATGACCAAAAGTCTTAAGCACACTTATGCACACTTACACACACTTATAAAGGTACCATCCATTTAAAAAAATAAAAATAAAAATAAAAATCAGGACTTATTTAAAACATCTCAATCACAAACAGTAAAGTGCATTGTCCAAATATGAGTGTATTACACTAGGTGAAATCGTCAGACCAGATAAATCCTCCAGCAGATAAACACAGTATAAAATCAGAAAGCTTTAAACTTTCCCCTCCTTTTCCCTTTTTTTGTTTGCCACCAGGGCCAGAAACATGGCTACTGCTTTAGTAACTAACTGAATTATCAACTTTATCAGATAAGAGGACAGAAATTGACCAGGGAAGGGAGGGAAGCTTTTCTTTTATCAGTATAGGTATAATATACTTCTGCCTCTCCATATTCCAGTTGGGACAAGCTAGCAATATATGGTCCATCGTCTCCACCCTACCTTGATTACAATCGCATGTCCGTTCGGAGAACGCAAGATTATTATTAGGAATGACCATGGGGTGGAAACATCCCTACATATAGCAGGATGAGGCAAATGGCTAAGCACACGCGGGGGAACTCTCCCGGCGGGAGGTTACATAATAAGCGGGAGAGTCTCAGTACCCCATGAGAGCCAAAAAATTCACACCAGCAGTGGAACGCAAGCCCTTTCACCATCACAAGGTCAGACAGATCTCAGTCTGGCAGCACTGGTTCTCACGGTCTCCCTATCGCTGTTTACGGCAAGCGGCAGAGCAGCAAGCAAGCTATGAGGCATGCGCCGTAGCACCAGGATCAGAGAAGGGAACAAGCAAAACATGGCAGCTAGCTGACACCCTGTCCCCTCAAAAACCCATCAACCACCTCCCGGAGCAGATGGGAGACCTCCCGGTTTCTCCGGGAACCGGGTGTGGAACGTCCGCAGGAGATTAGGAGTCCGTACATCTTTACCCGCCACCCACTCCTGATGCTGGGGACCCCATTGCACCCATTCCACCAGATAATACAATTGTCCACGTTTCACTTTAGAGTCCAGAATGTCGGATATTTCATAATGTTCCTCACCCTCCACCAGGATAGGAGGGGGCACAGTTGGTTCCGGGCGCCATGGATTAGTTGCTGGACTGGGCTTCAATAAACTGAAATGGAAAATTGGATGGACATTCTTTAAGTTTTTAGGCAACTCCAATTCTACCATCACATCATTAATCAACCTTGCAACTTTAAACGGCCCAATTTCCATGCCAACTTCCGACAAGACTGGGAAAGTTGCAGATTTTTTGTAGACACATATACAGAATCCCCAGACTGCAGAACCCAACCCTCCACCCATTTCTTGTCAGCCTGATGTTTGTAGGCGGCTTTGGCCATGTCCAAGGTTTCGCAGATTTTCGGCCACACCTCCCTCAATGCGGTACTCCATTTGGACGGCTCCCCCCCCCCAACCCCGGTGTTGAAGTCAGAAAGGGGATCGGGGGACTGTCATAACCAAGAGCAGCTTTGAACGTTGACATCCCCGTGGATGCGTGGTGAGCATTATTATAACAGAATTCAGCAAGAGTCAGTAAGTCAACCCAGTTGTCCTGTTGGTAGTTCGTAAAGCACCGTAAGTATTGTTCAAGTGTTTGATTAACCCGTTCTGATTGGCCATCAGTCTCTGGATGATAAGAACTGCTCAGCCCCCATTCTATGCCCATACGTTCCATGAGCTCCCCCAAAACTTCGAGACAAATTGGGGGCCCTATCCGTTATTATTTTGGTAGGCAGCGTGTGGAGCCTGAAAACATGTTTGAGGAATGCTTTGGCCAACGTCCGTGCCGTTGGTACACTGGGGAATGGAATGGAATGAGCCTGTTTGGAGAATAAATCCACGACTACCCAGATTACCATCATGGATTTGCTAGGGGGTAAGTCTGTGATGAAATCCATGGAAATCACCTCTTACAGTCTATTTGGAGATGGCAATGGTTTCAGTAATCCGGGGAGTTTCCCCTTATGTGGTTTACACATGATGCAAGTTTGGCAAGAGTGTACAAACAGAGATAAATCTTTGCGCATGTGTGGCCACCAGAATTTGTGTTGTAGAAGGTGTAGTGATTTCACAAAACCTGTGTGGCTATCCGGCTTAGATCCATGCACCTGTCCCATTACCTCCCACTGCAACAGTTTTGGAACAAAGAGTTTTGTGTCCTTATACCAGCACCCGTTTTCCCCAAGCACCAAATCTCCCCCCGCCTCCACTTCCTGTTTGTCCAGCTCCGAAAAGGCGGCAGCAAATTTGGCTTCCCATCCCCAAGGAGGGGGGGCACAGGGGAGTACGTTTAGTCACCGCTCCGCCCAATTTAAAAGGCGTGAACATGGATTCTAGGACCTCCTCGCGTCGGCTTTCATGCTGCGGGAGGCGGGACAAGGCATCCGCCAGCGAGTTTGATTTGCCTGGGAAATGGTGCAGGGTGAATTGAAACTTAGAGAAAAAAATCAGCCCACCGGAGCTGTTTGGCGTTTAGGTTCGTTCCGGGTGGTGCGAAGCACTTCGAGATTCTTGTGATCTGCCCACACCTCTAACGGCACCCTCACCCCCTCCAGCCAATGTCTCCACGTGGAGAGAGCTAGCCGGATTGCCTCTGCCTCCCTGTCCCAGACCGACCAATTCCGTTCGGTGTTGGTGAATTTGCGGGACACGTAGGCTAGGGGATGGAGTTTGCCATCAGCTCCTTCTTGCAAGATCGCACCGCCCATAGTAACGTCCGAGGTGTCCGTTTGCACCACAAACTTTTTAGTTTCGTCTGGGTGCGCCAGAGTGGGTTTGGTGGTAAAAAGGGCTTTCAGTTTATCGAACGCCTCTTGGCATTCAGGGGTCCACAGCAGCTTAGCCCCCAGCTTAGTAGCCTCCAGTCCCTTTCCCCTTTGTTTTCAGTAAGTCAGTAAGGGGCAAGCTCACCTGAGCAAAGTTCGGCAGAAAATTTCTATGGGAATTTGCGAACCCTAAGAAAATTTGGAGTTGCCGGCGAGTTCTGGGGGCCTCCCACCCCAAAACGTCCTTTACCTTTCCCCGGTCCATTTCTATGCTGCGGGGGGAGATGTGATAACCCAGAAAGTCAATTTCTGTCCAATTCGCATTTTGACAGTTTGGCAAACAGTTTGTGCTTGTGCAACTTTTTGAGCACCTCTCTCACCAACTGTACATGAGAGGTCTTGTTGGGGGAGTAGAGTAAAATGTCGTCCAAGTAGACGAACACCTCCTTAAACAGGTGCTTATGCAACACCTAATTTATTAAATTCATAAAGACTCCAGGAGCACCCTGGAAACCAAATGGCATCACCAGGTACTTGAACTGTCCCAAAGGGGTATTGAAAGCGGTCTTAAATTCATCCCCTTCCCTTATGCGCACCCAAAAAGAAGCATCTCGCAAATCAAGCTTGGAAAAGATCTTCCCCTTAGCCACATCAGCTAAGAGATCTTTGATTAATGACATAGGGTAAGCATTTGTAGACAAGACAGCATTCAACCCCCGGTAGTCTCGCATTTTGACAGTTTGGCAAACAGTTTGTGCTTGTGCAACTTTTTGAGCACCTCTCTCACCAACTGTACATGAGAGGTCTTGTTGGGGGAGTAGAGTAAAATGTCGTCCAAGTAGACGAACACCTCCTTAAACAGGTGCTTATGCAACACCTAATTTATTAAATTCATAAAGACTCCAGGAGCACCCTGGAAACCAAATGGCATCACCAGGTATTTGAACTGTCCCAAAGGGGTATTGAAAGCGGTCTTAAATTCATCCCCTTCCCTTATGCGCACCCAAAAAGAAGCATCTCGCAAATCAAGCTTGGAAAAGATCTTCCCCTTAGCCACATCAGCTAAGAGATCTTTGATTAATGACATAGGGTAAGCATTTGTAGACAAGACAGCATTCAACCCCCGGTAGTCTGTGCACAGCTGCAAACCCCCATCCTTCTTTTTCCGGAATAGAATGGGGGGCGCATACAGGGAAGAAGCTGGCCGGATGAAACCTCTAGCCAAGTTTTTGTCAATAAATTTCCGCAGCTCCACTTTCTCCCAGGGGCTCATGGCATAGAGCTTTCCCTTGAGTATTTTATGCCCCGGCAGTAGCTCAATTGCAGTCAGAGTTGCGGTGGGGGGGAAGCTCGTCAGCTTCTTCTTCGCCAAAAACTTGAGCTAGATCTCTGTACTCCCAAGGGATTTTGGCCAGTTCTTTAGTAGCTAAGCATGCTCGAACTTGGTCATTGCCAGGAGCCACACCCCACTTCGGGTTCCAGAGATGGCCTTGGTATTTGGGGGAGATGAACTTAATAATCCTGTCACCCCACAAAATATAGGGATCATGCCTGTGGAGCCATGGGTTTCCCAGTACCAGGGGGAATCTGGCCCCCGGGGACACAATAAAAGTTCGTTCCTCCCAATGGTCCCCTACCCCCATGCGTAATGGTACAGTCTCGTATTCACAGGGCTCTTTCATCGGGGACCCGTCCATTTGGGTGAAGACTAAGGGCTCAGCCAACCAGACCACATCCGCGTCCAGGCCTGCGATAAAGGAGGGGTTGATTAAATCTCACCCGCACTCTGAATCGATGAGGCCCTGGACCCTAATATGCGTGCCCATGGTGGGGTTCATAATATAGTCACAAAAAAGAGGGGTGGGTAGCTGCTCACCACTTTAGGTGCCTCCGTCGTTGGGTCCTGCTGCTCAGCGCCACTTACAGCAGGACCTGGCCTTTTCCCGCCGGTTCCATCTCCTCCTCCCCGCTTGACTCGTTCTCCAACACCTCCACCTCGGCTTGCAGGGCGCGGGGGCTTCTGGCTTTCGCCGTTCCTTTTCTGGGAAGCAAATCGCTCCGGCGCTTGTCACCTTCTTTCCCCGTTGCTCCTCTGCCCTCTCCCAAGGGACAGTTAGCTGCAAAATGGCCGCGGTCTTCACATCTTAGGCACAGCCCCTGTTTCATCTGTTGCTCTCTGACCGATGGCAGCTGTGGGGTGGCCTTTGCCTTGGGGTGTGGGGGGGTGCCGAAGTTCTTCCAGCCGCTACCGCGTTATCCAGCCGCATGGTGTGCAAGCGACTCTTGGCGCTCTCTGCCTCCTGCATCCATGCTGACAAGGTTCTTAGGTCTTGGGTCCCCAAAACCGAGTTTCGAATGTCCGCATTCAGGCCCAGCCGGTACTGCTACGTGAACACTGGGTCGGTCCAGTCCCGGATTTTGGCCACTTGATGATGAAACTCGGTTGAGTATTCCCGAACAGACAACTTGCCTTGTTTGAAAGTGCGGAGGAATGCCTCTGCCTTTTCTCCCGCCGTGCGGTCTTCGAACCGGGCTCGTAGCACCCACATAAAGGCATCAACGCTCTCCAACTCCACCGCCTCCAGGTTGTGGAGCCCCACATACCAGCTAGTCGCTGCACCCGCAGGCGGGAAGCAATGAAATCCACTTGATGGTGAGCCCAGCGCTCGACAAACTTCATCACCGGTACGATAAAGAAGGAAAGGTTCTCCAGGTCGCCATCAAACGTAACATCAAGTAAGTCCTTGGGTCGTGGCATTGCCAGCGGTGGGACGGGACCCACCGGCTGCGCTGGGGCCTGCGGGTGCCCCAGCAGCAGAGGTGGCGGAGGGGGGGAGGCGGCAGTGGAGCCGGCTGCGGGACCGGCTGACCAGGTCCCAGGCCTGGCACCGGGGATTCTCAGCAGAACTTGTTGGACGGACAGTTGGGTCTGTACCACCCGGGCCACTATCTCTGGCAGGTTGTGGAGCAATTGTCCCATGTCCCGCATTATAGTGCGACAGTCCAGTTCCAAAATATCCAGTCTCCCATCCATGTCCCGACCTGGACTGACCAACTATCTCGGTGGGAACGGAATGGGTCTACCCGGGGTCATTCCGAAGCTCCCTGAGCTGGACCGCGGGTCAAAGATACTGTCCCGACTCCTACTCCCTGGCATCGACCAGGTAGTTTGTGTGGAGTCACCCAAATGCCAGCCCCAAGCCCTCTCTTTACAGCGGTAGGTCACTCCCCTTCCCAAATGCACCGGGATGAATGAAGCCACTGACCTAGGGGTAGCCCCTCCATCCATGGACACAGGCCCTCCTGGGCTTGCCGTCGTCACAGGTGCCTCCGTTCCCGATGTCATCGGAGTGGGGGCCGCCGGTGCTGTCGTGGTTGGGGCCATCACTGGCACCGCCATAGCAGTCGGGGTAGGCACCAACGTGGCTGTTGAGGTAGGCACCCCTGCCCCACCGGGACCGCTCATCTTGCTCGGGAGAGACTCGGCTCGATGGAGGAAAAGTGACTCCTAACAATTTATGTCAGGTTCAACAGCAAGTAAATCTCCACACATGTTTCCAGGGAAGCATTATGCTTTATTAGACTACAAGTCTGTTACCATGTCCAAAAGATTATTGTTAGGAATGACCATGGGACGGAAACATCCCTACATATAGTAGGATGAGGCAAATGGCTAAGCAAATGAAATCCGAGCACACGTGGGGGAACTCTCCCGGCAGGAGGTTACATAATAAGCGGGAGAGTCTCAGTGCCCCATGAGAGCTGAAAAATTCACACCAGCGGTGGAACGCAAGCCCTCTCTCCATCACAAGGTCATACAGATAACTCAGTCTGGCAGCACTGGTTCTCACGGTCTCCCTATCACTGTTTATGGCAAGTGGCAGAGCAGCGAGCAAGCTATGAGGCATGCGCCGTAGCGCCAGGATCAGAGAAGGGAACAAGCAAAACATGGCAGCTAGCTGACATGGAGAAGTTCAGGCAGGGAACCGAAGCATGTTTGCGTGCATGCCCTTTGCATCCCTAGCCAGCCCACCACGGTGAGTTGGCTGGGGAAGGGAAGGGCAGGCATGCAGACATGCCCCCTTCCTTCTCTGAGCCTCTCTGCTTTTGCAGAGAAACTCAGGAAAGTGGTGGGGGGGTCATGTTTAAGTGCCTTTCTTTCCCTCCCCGAAATCGGGGAGGGAAAGAAAGGCATTTTAAACATGCCTGGGCTCCCTGCCTGCCCTTCTCCAGCTACCCCGGGTCAGCTAGAGAAGGAAAGGCAGAGAGCCCAAACCTTCCCTTGTCAATTTCACTCACAGCTGACTGGTAGGGAGTGAAATGGACAAGGAAATCTGTAGGGGCTACCAGAGGGAAAGGAGGCATGTTCGGCAATACCGAATATTTCCTCAATCCAATATTGGACCGGGAAAATTTGGCATTTACCAATATTTTTTGCATCTTATTTACCTGAAGCCAAAAAGTACCGGCATTATTTTTTTTTTGCACACCCCTAATCTGGCTTTCGAGCAAGCGAACCTTTACCTTTACCTAATGCGCACCAGCCAGTGCTGTCAGGGAAAGGCTGTGCGGGTGGTGCAGGCAACTGAGCATGGGTGCTGGGTGGGCTTGCAAGTGGGAGAAGGATGCACGAGCAGGTGGGGGGTATGCACGTGTGGGGGGCTGGGCAGGTGGGGGGTTGTGGGTATTGTCATTCCAGGGCCTCCCCAGACCTGAAACCGGCCCCATAGGCAGTAGTTACTTAACAGACTTGAATAGTGTCGAGCCATATCTAGGGTTTCCAGGTCCCTTAATGATGCCAGTGGGGGGATGGGGGGATGCTCTGGGAGTTGGAAGCTGTGCCCCCGACATGCTGACATCACCAGAAGTGATGTTGCGTGCAGAATCGGAAGTGACGTAGGCATGTCGGGGGTGACACTCTGGTTTTTGGGCAGAAAATCACCCTCAAACCATAGAATTTTGCCCAAAAACCAGAGTGTCCCCCCGCAACGTTGCTCCACATTGAGGTGGGTGGGATTTCCTCCCATTGGCCAGCTGACCGGTGGCAGGCAATAAACTGGGGGATACCCCTCCCCCAACTGGGGACGGGCAACCCTAGTCCTATCTATACTAACTGAATAAAGTATTACATTTCAATATGAATAGACTATGGCTTTGAAGAAATAAAGCATGCATTCCTTATTCTTAGTTGCGCAGTAACCTAGAAGAGGCGTTCCCTCTTATGTACAAGTTAAGGGGGAACGCTTCTCCTCACTTGTGCCTGAAGTTTCTAGAAAAAGAGGTGCAGGAGCTCATTAGCATAACTCATTAGCATAACTTATTTGCATATGCCACACCCCCTGACATCACCGGAAGTGTGTCAGAAGGCAACACCCACCGCTCAGGCTCCACTGGACTGTTTTGGATTGCTAGCTATTGGGGGGGGGACGTGCAGATCTGTCCTTGCAGAGGAGGGAGAGCTTGTACCTGAATAAAACTTGGTCTTAAAGGTGCCTTTGGACTGGGGGGCCGGGGGGAGCTCTGCAACTTACCTGGGTGCTTCTTGCTCTGACTGAGGGCTGCTGGGAATAGGGGGTGGAGATTGTTGTATGTGCCCGCCCCCTGGGCTCTTTACTGTCGGAGCTCTGCTCCTGTGCACTCCTTCAGGAAATGACCCCTGTTTCTAGTAGTCCTTAAGATTTAAAAACATGCAATACCTTCCAAAAGTCGTAGCACCAGATGAACTGGGCTTCTCAGTCAATCAAAAGGCTTTGGACTGATCGATCCGATTGACTAAAGGCAGCGTTTCCTCTTGTCTTTTTCCTCCCTGACAGTGGAAGCTCATTTCAAGCATAAACCGTAATCGCATCGGGCTGGAGGGGAACCAGTATTTGCGGATCTGCTTACAACCCAGTAATATTATTTGTTCTTTGCAATGTTCACGACGACGAAACGTTCAGGAAATCACTTTGGACTACGAGGTGGGAGATGCTCGTAACTGTGGCAGCTGCATGAGGACAGGAAGCGCTGCCAATCCCAGAGCAGACAATTTAGAAACGTTGTGCTCCCCAAGCCAGGAAGGGGATGCGGCTCTTCCATCGTGGGCTATCCGAGGCACCTCCCTTGGTCAAAGGTGACCCTGAGCACCGTGGGGTGTTCAGAAGAACACGCGCTCCTCCGTTTCCTCTGCCCTCCTCCTCCTCCTCCCTGTTCCTTGTGCTCGGTCATGAGGACAACACACGGTGATCCAGAATGCTTTCTCCTAAAGGGTGCAATCACCTTCAGAGAACGGGAGTCCCTTTTTGGAGGAGGGCAGCCATGAATTCAAGAGGACACCTGTGGCGTTGGAACTTAGGCCTAAACCCTTCTGACCTTTCCCAGGAAGGACAGATACAGGAGTCCAGCAGGCCTTGTGCATGATGCTGAAGTTTCAACAAATGCCTTCTGATCCTGACCCACGTGGGCATCACAGGACGCTACCACTTGAATAGCCACGGACGCTCCTTTCAAGGGAGGGTGCCCCCGCCCCGCTTCTTTTCACCTTGTGATGCTTAAGCAGCAGGTTCATATTTATTTTTGGAGGCGAGTTCTATCGTGATGCTTGGGAGTTTGCTCCAAGCTTCTCACAAGCCATACCGCCTGGTGCCATCCTGTTGAAAGACTAATCTTGGCACGACCTATCAGGGGTTAGCACAACCTACCAGGGGTTGACACAACCTAAGTTTGGCACAACCTACCAGGGGATGGCACAACCTAAGCTTGGCACAATCTATCAGGGTTCTCTAAAACCAGTGCTGCAGAAGCTGTGTGTGTGTGTGTGGGGGGGGTCAGGTAAAGCAAAATTGGCGGCTGGCAGACAGAGTGCCTATATCATGGATGGATGGTATAAAGTCTCATTTCCCTTTTCCAGAGTTCCAAGGGGCAGGACGGCCTGTTGTGCTCTCCTAATAACTGTGGTGCTGTCAAAGCGGTGTGAGAGGCAGTGTGGTGCAGTGGTTAGAGTGTCGTGCCAGGATCTGGGGCACCCCAGGTTTGGATCCCCACTCTGCCCTGGAAGCTTGCTGAGTGACCTCAGGCTGGCCAAACGTGCTCAGCCTAACCTACCTTGCAGGGTTGTTGTGTGGATAAAATGGAGAAGGGGTGAAAGGAAGCCACCGTTTGTCCTCATTGAGGAGACAAGTGAGGTAAAAATGAAGCAAAACACAAAATGACATCTGACTCAGCTATGAGTTTGGCAGTGTGGGTTGAAGAGTGTGTGAGGATTTCTGAACTCAGAGGGTCGGTGTGTGTGAATGTGTGTGCATGTGTCTCTACGGGGTCCCCAACATGGTGCCCATGGGTACCGTGCCACCAGTCAACACTTTACTTGGAGCTCACCAAGTGTTTTCAGAAACTTGGTGGAGCTCTTGTCTAGCACAGCTTCTGATTGGCCACTGGAGATCTGATTGGCTGGGCAGGTTAAAATAAAAGTTCCTTTGGCAGCAACTGCCACCACAAGGTTGGTTTTATTCTCTCTCACTTCTATTCCAGTCTGTTTTTTAAACGACTGCTCTTCTTGCCTGCACCTGAATTTCCTCTAGGCGTGTGGTTGGCTCCACCTCCGGTGGCAGCCGTTTTAGTTGGCTCCACCTCCTATGGCAGCCATTTTTAGTTGGCTCCACCTCTCGTGGCAGCCATTTTGTGGTTGAACCCACCTCCCTGTGTTCGAGTTCAAAAGGTGCCCACAGGCTTAAAGAGGTTGGGAGCTCCTAATGTATACACACCTGCATGCATATATAAAACAAAATATTGTTTGTTAAAAACAAGCAAGAAATCTTCTGAAGGGTAAAGTCACAAGATCCTCACCTGCACTTTGTGTACCTGTGGGATGGCTGTGCATTCCCTTTCTTAAACAAACAGCTCCCCAAATACGGTTGGGCATTCCCCCCCCCTTGTGTATTGACCTGAAGCAGGTGCCGTCCTTTTGAGGACAAATCCCTGTGCGCACTTGTTTGAGGGCACATCCCCTTGAGCCCAGTTCTTGCCCTCACCTCTGGGGAGATGGGCATAAGATCGGGCTGCGCATCTCATTGATGGTCCTGGGAGAGAGAGAGCGTTAAGCCGGCAGTCGGGTCTCTCTGTGTGGCTTAACGGGCTTGCGGCCGGACTCTGTGTCTGCAGTGCCCTCCAGCGTTAAAGCGAAGCCTGCGAACAGAGTCATGGGAGGGATTCCCCAGGTTGCTTCTCTGATGTCAAATCAGAATGTGGCCAGTGGCCCCAGCACAGTGGCACATCAGAGGAAACTCTGGGAGGGGACCGGACTACCAAAAAGGGAGGATGTCTGTAGTCACCGATACCCCACCCTCCATTAAAAACAGCATGCAAAAGTTCGTGTGGAATTCCCCATGTGATCCTGTCACATGAACACATGAAGCTGCCTTACACTGAATCAGACCATCAGTGCTCTCTGCTCAGACCAGTGGCGGCTCTCCAGGGTGAGAGTCTTTCACAACCCCTACTTCATGGTCCTTTCAACTGGAGATGCATCATGCGAGGGATTGAACCTGGGACCAATGCTCCCTCTAAGCTGTGGAGTCGTGTGAGCAAAATTGTACTTTGTGAGCTACGGGCTTTAAAGTTGTGAATGAGTGATTTGGCTACTGCATAAATCGGTTTGCTCTGGAGCCATCCTTCCTGAGCTAAGATAGAAGTGTGTGAGCCGGAGGCTAAAAAACTGTGAGCTAGCTCACACTAACTCAGCTTAGACGAAACACTGCCTGAGACCTTCCGCATGCCAAGCAGAGGCTCTGCCACTGAGCCACAGCCCCTTCCCTAAATGAAGCTGCCCTATACTGAACCAGACCCTTGGTCTGTCAAGGTCAGTATTGCCTACGCAGACTGGCAGCAGCTCTCCAGGGTCTCAGGCAGAGGTCTGCCACCAGGTCCTTTTAACTGAAGATGCCGGGGATTGAACTTGGGACCTCCTGCATGCCAAGCAGAGGCTCTACCAAAGAGCCACAGCCCCTCTTTGCAGCTCTCCAGGGTCTCAGGCAGAGGTCTTTCATAGCCTGGTCTTTCAAAGCCTGGTGCTTTTTAACTGGAGATGCCAGGGATTGAAAACAGGGACCTTTCGCGTGCCAAGCAGAGGCTCTACCACTGAGCCACAGCCCCTCTTTACAGCTCTCCAGGGTCTCGTATCTCCAACCGCCTGGTTCTTTTTAAATGGAGATGCTGGGGATTGAACCTGGGACCTTCTGTGTGGCAAGCAGATGCTCTGCCACTGAGTCACAGCCCCTTTCCCATCCATGATCTAGATCTTCCTGTTTCTTTGCCAGGCTCTGTGGGAGTATCATCAACTTCACAGGAAAGTTGGTCACCCAGCAGGCTTTGGGGCTCCCAGAAGAGAGCGAACTGCTAGTGGGCTTTTCAACCAAATTACGTAGAGAGGGGGCCAAGCGAACTGCACCAGAGTCCCTATCCTAAATTATTCCAGGATGGACGCAATGCCACATGCCCAATGGCCTGTTCTTTTGAAGGATTAGATGCAGAAATTATATGCAAATTGCACATCTTGCAACTGGGGGCATGGATAAACTCAGTTCATGCTAAAGAGGCAGCAAAGACCCCGTGGGAAATAGTTAGACATTTTCCTCTGATCTCCTGAATTTACCCCTGTTTTCCTCAAGGCCCTGGCCACCCCCCACCCCCACACAACTGTTTTTGAGCCAGTCATGGTAGTAAATAACATCTGACCCTGCTTTTGACAAAAGCACACAGTTGCTGCCAATGTTTACGCACCCGTCTTTGTAGGAAAAACATGGGTGAGTGGCGGAGCTTGACTTAGCTTTGTTTTTGTACGGGTTTTCTTCTGTGATGTGTGTCAATGTCGCCAACAATCTTTTTGTTTCTTAAATAGCAAATATGTGACTTCTGAATAATTTAATTCGATGTAGATGAAATGTTGCTACGTGCAAATAGAATGTAGGCTAGGTTAAAACTAGATGTGATGAAAATCGTCGGCCGATGTGGGAGAGGACCAAATTAAGTGCCTGTTAATGAGGAAACAACGTGGAATCCGAAACACAGTTTGATAGGTACATTAAGCAAGTCGAAGGCCACTGAGATCAGTGGACTTAAAGCCAGATGGTGTGGCAGCAATGCTGGAATGAAGGTTAAATGCGGCTGGGACAGAATATCCCCAGCAGCGTTGTGTCTTTTGGGGGGGCGGGGGACCAAAACTGGCCGCCTTTGAAATCCACTGTCTCATTCAGACAACCTCCAGGAACCCCGATGCATAATTCTTGTTGCAATAATTGAGACTTCTATAGGTCCTATTCATTTGTGTATGACTTGCAGCAGCGACTGCCCAGTTTGTGTGTGTGGCACCAATGCCAACTGGTTAGTAAAAGGATGGGGAGGGGGGAGCGTTTCTGCCACAGGTCTAGCCCAACGTAACCCTCTGATGCACAAATACAAAGGGAGATGTCTTGTGTAAAAGTGGGCTCTGGCCACTTAGATTGTGGGAAAGAGACATGGAAACCAGTGGGCGGGAATCTAGGTGTTGTGTCGTGGACTTTTCGGGGGCCACACGTTGTTTGTAGCTCCCGGCCAATCTGTGTCGATGCTGCTGCGTCAAGAACCACCCCTTCCTCAGTTCAGACACCTCATACAGGAGTTAGCCAGTCTACTTAAGTGCATTTGAGCTTCCACACAATATGTGAGATACTTATCAACCTTAACAGGTATTAACAGAGAGCCAGTTTGGTGTAGTGGTTAAGTGCGTGGACTCTAATCTGGGAGAACCAGGTTTGATTCCCCACTCCTCCACTTGCACCTTCTGGATGACCTTGGGCAAGCCATAGTTCTGACAAGAGCTGTCCTTGAAAAAGAGCAGTTTCTGTCAAGAGCTCTCTCAGCCCCACCTACCTCACAGGGTGTCTGTTGTGGGGAGGGGAAGGGAAAGAAGTTTGTAAGCTGTTCTGAGACTCCCTTGGGTAGTGAAGGGCGGGGTATCAATCCAATCTCTTCTTCTTATAAGGGGGGAAGACCCGCTTTCTCTCTTGTGCTTGTATCAACGCTGACAGAGTGGAACCTTTTCCCAACATTTGCTTGTTCCACCAGCTGGGTTATATTAAGTCAGGGCACTGAAGAGGTTCGAGTCTCCGTGTGGGCAAAACTCGGATTCAGATCTGCGCTCTGCCTCAAAGCTCATAAGGGTGATGTTGGGCCCGTCTCTGTTTTGGCCGAACCTGCCTTACAGGATTGTTTTATGGATAACATGGAAGCTGGGGGGGGGGGGGGGATAGACAGAGAAGAAGACCTCCACCCCCACCTTCCCAAGCCACAGCAGTGATCGTCACAGAGTTTTAAAGGCCTTAGGAAAAATTTCTGGAGGATCATTGTCAGTAATATATCTAGCAGTTTTGAGATTTTTCTCTGAAATGCCAAAATGCCCACATTTTTACGAAGAGAATGAGAGAGGCAGGGAAACCAGCATCTTTCTGCGCTCCAGAAGGCATTTCTTTTTCCCCTGAAGTGTGTCTGTGGAATAATTTCCCTTTGGTCCATTATACATTTAAACCACCGGTTAACACCCCCCCACCCCCCAAACTGTGATACTAAATGTCATTCAGGCCAATAAATTATTACTACATCAGATGAATGGAGGTGAAGACTCGTTTTGTGTGTGGGGGGGAGGCAATAGATATGGTTGCCGTCTCCAGGCTAGGAAGTTCCTGGATATTTAGGGGGTGGCTCCTGGGTAGGGGAGGGGGCTCAGCAAGGTCTGATGCCTTAGCAAGGTCTGATGCCCCCCTCCGCAGCGACCATGGTCTCCCCAGAGGGGACCTGGTCTCTGCAGTCTGGAGACCAGCTGTCATCCTGGGAGGTCTCCTGGGAGACTGGCAACCCCAGCGGCAGGGCAGAGACTAGAGTTTGCTGAACTCTTGCTAACCATTTTTCTTTCCTGAAACGGGAGACATGCTTCCCCCTTAGTCACTGAATGGTACACGTTCCCTATGGTTTGCTGCTATGCCAGTGAGCTCAAGGACTCTGTCTTCTCTGCTC